TGGTTATACACTCTTGTTGGATTGACCCCTTTATCGTTATGTAATGTCCTTCTTTATCTCTTGTTACTTTCTTTGTTTTGAAGTCTATTTGTCTGATACTAGTACTGAAACACCTGCTTTTTTCTCCCTGTTGTTTGCATGGAATATCTTTTCCCATCACTTGACTTTTAGTCTGTGCATGTCTTTGGGTTTGAGGTGAGTCTCTTGTAAGCAGCATATAGATGGGTCTTGCTTTTTTATCCAGTCTATTACTCTGTGTCTTTTGATTGGTGCATTCAGACCATTTACATTTAGGGTGATTATTGAAAGATATGTACTTACTGCCATTGCAGGATTTAGGTTTGTGGTTACCAAAGGTTCAAGGTTAGCTTCTTTACTATCTTACTGTCTAAGTTAACTCGCTTATTAAGCCATTATAAACACAGTTTGACGATTCTTTATTTCTCTCCCTTCTTATTCCTCCTCCTCCATTCTTTATATGTTAGGTGTTTTATTTTGTGCTCTTTTGTGCTTCCTTTGATTGCTTTTGTGGGTAGTTGATTTTATTTGTTGCCTTTAGTTAGTATTTGATTGTTCTGGCTTTCTTTGCTGAGATTTTATTTTCTCTGGTGACATCTGATTAGCCTTAGGAGTGCTTCCATCTAGAGCAGTCCCTCTGAAATACCCTGTAGAGGTGGTTTGTGGGAGGCAAATTCCCTCAACTTTTGCTTGTCTGGGAATTGTTTAATCCCTCCTTCATATTTAAATGATAATCGTGCTGGATACAGTATCCTTGGTTCAAGGCCCTTCTGTTTCATTGCATTAAATATATCATGCCATTCTCTTCTGACCTGTAAGGTTTCTGTTGAGAAGTCTCATGATAACCTGATTGGTTTTCCTTTGTAGGTGACCTTTTTTCTCTCTCTGGCTGCCTTTAATACTCTGTCCTTGTCTTTGATCTTTGCCATTTTAATTATTATGTGTCTTGGTGTTGTCCTGCTTGGGTCCATTGAGTTTGGAGTTCTGTGTACTTCCGTGGTCTGAGAGTCTATTTCCTCCCCCAGTTTGGGGAAGTTTTCAGCAATTATTTCTTCAAAGACACTTTCTATCCCTTTTTCTCTCTCTTCTTCTTCTTCTGGTACCCCTACAATGCGAATATTATTCTGTTTGGATTGTTCACACAGTTCTCTTAATATTCTTTCATTCCTGGAGATCCTTTTATCTCTCTCTGCGTCTACTTCTCTGCGTTCCTGTTCTCTGATTTCTATTCCATTAATAGCCTCTTGCATCTCATCCATTCTGTTTTTAAGTCCTTCCAGAGATTGTTTTATTTCTGTATTCTCCCTCCTTAGCTCCTACATATTACTCTGTACGTCCATAAGTATGGTTAGCTTTATTTTGAATTCTTTTTCAGGAAGATTGGTTAAATCTATCTCCTCTGATTCCCTCTCAGGGGAGGATGTCTGGGTTAGTTTGGTCTGTATCAAATTCTTCCGCCTTTTCATGGTGATAGAGGTAGTTGTGTGCAGTTGGTACATGTGTCAGCTGGGAGAACCAAGACCCTTTCTACTTCCTCCTGTCCTTCCTTTCCTGGGAGAATGGCGCCCCCTAGCGGCTTGTGTGGGGCAGCTGCGTTCAGACGGGGTCTCTGATTCTTGCCCAGCTACTGTGGAGTAAGCTCCGCGATTGCTGTGGGCGTGGCCAGTCTCAGGCTGCTTCTCAGCTCTGGCGGGAGGCTGTTTATGGCTGTGAGGGGCCTCCGAGCTGTGTTGCTGCCCAGGGGTTAGGGTGCCTGGAGTTCCCCAGGATTCCCAGCTTCTGGGCTGAGTGAGCCAGGATGCTTCCGTCCAGCTGTTAGGCCCCACTCCCTTTAAGACTTTCAAAAAGCACTTGCTTTTCTTTGTCGCAGGGGAGCCAGGCTGCGGGGACCTGCTCACAGGTCTTACTGTCCCATTTCCCTAGTATCCAGCACCCCATACACTTTGTGTCTGCGCTCCATTGCGGATGGCTAGGGCTAGGTGTTTAGCAGTTCTGGGCTCCCTCTCCCTCCCTGCTCCGAGTCCTCTCCTCCCACCGGGAGCTGGGGTGAGGGGCGCTTTGGTCCCACTGGGCGGGGGCTTGTATCTTATCCCCTTCTTGAGGCACTGGATTCTCGCAGGTGTAGGTGTAGCCTGGCTGTTGTCCTGTATCTTCTGGTCACTCTTTTAGGAATAGTTGTATTTACAAAAATATAAGTTTTGGGGAGGAGATTTCTGCTGTCCTACTCATTCTGCCATCTTGGCTCCTCCCCCTCGCATTTTTTATTTTGAAGGAAAAAATGTATCATGGTTTAATATTGGTACTTCAAATTGAAATTATTATTTTCAGTTTAACATCATTGATCTTTATGTTTGAGTCTCTAATTAGTCTTGCTAAAATTCTTAGTTCCTAGCAACACTAACATAGCACATTTACTTTATCTTATTCTGTATATAATAATTTGAAAGTCCCAAGAAGATATATTTGTAACAATTTGATTATTGAAGGCTGTTTAACATTTCCTTGAGGTACTTTTGTCTAATGGCTCATTGCCATATACAGTTGAGTTCCTATGTTTTAAAGTGATTTGAAACAATTCTTTGAGTGTTTAACCAGCTAAATATATAGTCAGGTTTCTTGTTTAGCTTTCAATTTTTTAAGGGATTGCTCTTCTTAGCATTTTTATTTTTTCCAACTTTAATTTTGAAAAATTTCAAACCTACAGAAAATATGAAAGAATAGTACAGTGAACATCCATATACCTTTCACCTAAGAGTCATCAATGAATATTTTTCCCTTTTGTTTTCTCTCTTGTCTTTCTTGATTCCCTCCCTCCGTCTGCATTACACACTATTTTTTGTTTTTGCCATACCGTTTGAAGGACATTGCAGACTTCAACTGTAAATATTTCAGCATGCTAAGAAGAAGGGATTCTCCTCCATAACCATGATTCCATACTACAACTAAGTAAATTAATAATAATTTCATATCTAATATCTCACTATGAACTAGGAAATTCAAATTTCCCTAGTTGTTTCAAAAGTGTCTTTCATAGTTTTTTGTTTTAAACTATGACCACTCGAGATTCATGTATTGTTTTTGATTGTTCTGTCTCTTCAGTTTCTTTTAATCCTCTCACATTTTTTCATGACATTGATCTTTTGAAGAGTCTGTATGTTGTCTTGAAGAATGGATATGTTATGGGTACACTGTAGATATGTTAGTTTCCTTTCATTATAGCTTGTTCTTCCTAGCCTTGTATTTCCTCCTATAAATTGGAAGTTTGATCTAGACTGGAGGCTTGATGGATTTGTATGAAGTAATTTTAGGGCAAAATATTTTATTGCTGATGCTGTGTACTTTATATTGCATCATGCCAGGAGGCACATAATATCAGGATTTTCCACTCTTCATTATGCTCAGTTTGATCCTCAGTTAAGGCATTGATCGCCAGATCTCTTAATGCTAAATGTGTACTTTTTCCTTTGTAAGTAGTCTTTAGGGTGATTCTTTGGCATCTTGGGAATATCTTGTTCCCCAACAAGTTTTTTACCGATTGGTCTTCACATTTTGATTTAATTTTGTTTTATAATTATCTAAAGTCTTTATATGGTTCTAAAACCAAAAGTGTAATACAATGTACATGAAAAGAAGTTTAGCTTCCTGTCCTGTTTCCTTCACCTTCCTTCCTCTATACATAACCATTTTAATTAGTTTTTAGATTATCTGGTATTGTTTTTACAAACAAACATTTGTATGCAAATATATTCATATCCTCTCAGATAAAAGATAGCTTTCTATTGTACACCTTTCCTGTTTTACTTAAAACATGTCCAGGAAACCACTCTATAACAGTACATAGAGATCTTCGGAAAGGCTTCTCTAATACATATATATATATTCATGTCCTTCCTGTGCTTGAAGACATTCAGTGGTAGTACACCTCCCTTGGTATAAAGTCCAAACCTCTTATGAGGCCTGAAAAGCCCTTTATCATCCGGCTTCTTCATGTGCCCTCCAGCCTTGTCTTTCCCCCAATGCATTTGCATGGGTGCATGCACACAGGTGCACACAATTGCTACTGTTGCCACGTTGAACCACATTTTGTTTTGGTGGGTTGTTTTAGTTTTTATTTTTTTGACTTTTGAAGTTTGCTAAAGTTGATTATTCTTTTGAATTGCTTTAATTTCCTTAAATGAACCTTGAGTTAATCCTGGTTTTGCATGTGATGCTCCTATCTGCATAGGATATTACTACTTTTCTCATTTCTCAGTATCCTTCCTGTAGGCTTGAGCTTTAAAAATTCCTGGAAGCCTTCTTAGCCTCAGAGTCTAAGTTAGGTGCCCTTCTTGTGTGCTAACTCAACACTGTTTGTTTATCATGGTTTTGGTACTCACCATACGGCATTCTGATTGTTTACTTATTCTGTTAGTCCATGAGCTGTTTGAGCACAGGAACCATGGCTCACAGAATATGAGTGCCCCAGTACCTGGCACTTGGAGGGCATCCAGTAAATATTCATTAACTAAAAGTGGCAGAAAGGCACAAGTCCAGACATGCATTGCAGTATCCATAAGACTTAAAACCAAACTCAAGTAGAATTTGCTCAGATCAAGTGGTGATCAGAGCAGAAAATTTCACTTGCCTTATTCATTGTGCAGACCAGCCTGTGTGGGAGCCTCTAGGTCACCCTGGGATGGTGCTGGCTGATGGCCTGGGCTGAGAGCCAGAGAGGGCCCCACCAGCTGCTCCTCGTTGGAGACGGAGAGGTTGACAGGACCTGGGGGTTGGGCTAGAGATGAGAGAGCAGCAGCAGTCTGTAATTCCCAGGGATGATGGGAGTGGTTACTGTGGGCAGGACCTAGTAGGAGGAACTGAGTTGGGAAAGAACCTGCCTTCTGCATGGGAGCAGGCGTCCAGGCCCTCACTTGGTCAAGCCTCTCTTCTGGGCCTGGGCTCAGGGGCCTGGCCCTTCTTGATGTTGCTGGGCCTGGGGTTTACAGGATGCGCAGGCTGAGGAAGAGATCAAGCAGGAAATGAACACACTGCAGCAGAAGCTGAATGAGCAGCAGAGTGTGCTTCAGCGTATTGCTGCCCCCAATATGAAGGCCATGGAAAAGCTGGAAAGTGTCCGAGACAAGTTCCAGGAGACCTCAGATGGTAAGATATCCCCCTTTTACTTGGGTGTAAGATGAAAGGAGGAGCCTGGAGGTATGGCAAGGTCTCTTGTTAGACATCACAACTACTCTTGTTTTTACTGCTTTCTTCCTTGAAACTTCCAAGAGCCCTAAACAGTAGGGGTTATCACACCTTTCTATAGAGTATAAAACTGCTGAGGTTCAGCGAGGGCAAATGACCTGCTCAAGGTCACACAGCTGGTTGCTGATAGAGCCCAGGGAAGCATCCATGTTTATGTGGCTCCAAGCCCATATTTTTTCCTTTGCATTACATGGCCGACCGACTGGATACAAGTGGTTGTAGGACTGTTTCCCTAGGGCCCTTCCTAGGCATTCCTTTCCCTTTGGGATGTCCCTGCTCTGTGGATTGTCATCTGCATGTCATTCTTTCCATGGCCCTGTCTTCAGCCATGGCAGAGCCTGGGCACTGAGGGGTCACATGTCTTTCCCTTGTGGCAGAATTTGAGGCAGCCCGAAAGCGAGCCAAGAAGGCCAAGCAGGCATTTGAACAGATCAAGAAGGAACGCTTTGACCGCTTCAATGCTTGTTTTGAATCTGTGGCAACCAACATTGATGAGATCTACAAGGCCCTGTCCCGCAACAGCAGTGCCCAGGTAGGCTGGACCCCCTTACCCAGCCAGTCCCTACCATCCTGTTGCTCTTCCTTTTAGTCTTCCTGTCCTCATCCCCTTCCAGATCCAGACCCAGTTCCTCACCCATCTGCATTTCCCCTAGGCATTCCTGGGCCCTGAGAACCCGGAGGAGCCCTACTTGGATGGCATCAACTACAATTGTGTGGCTCCTGGCAAACGTTTCCGGCCTATGGACAACTTGTCAGGGGGGGAGAAAACAGTGGCAGCTCTGGCTCTGCTCTTTGCCATCCACAGGTAAGGCTGAGACCCCCAGGGCAGTTGGCAGAGAGACTGAACTGAAGCCACTGGAGGCTCTGAGACCCAAGGATATGCAGATTTGTAGAGGTGAAGATGTTTTGGTGGAATCTGGATTGTGCCCCTTTTTCCCTACCTGCTACAGCATATCTGGCCTTGGTTTCCTGGACCTGTCTTCCCCATCCACCCTCATCCACCCAGCGTGCCCTCACTGTCCCCTGCATGTGTTCGGTCCCACCACCAGGCTTTTGCTCACATGATTGCTGGTTAATAAGCCCTTTGCATGCACATCTATCATGACCATCACCTACCACCCCATCACATCTCATTTTCTTCCTCCTGTTCCTCTAGGAAGCCTGCTTTGACCATAGTGGCATACCCTGACCTCCCCCTCCTGAATGCCAATAGTACTTGAATCTGACTCCCACAACTTAGTGCTTGATTATACAGTGTCATTCAGGGAGCATATCTATCTTGAGGGCTACTTTGTACCAGAGCGTGATGAGGGATTAGGGACACAAATGAGTCAGAAATGGGCTCTGTCCTCAGGGAGCTCATGGTCTAGTGGAAGCCAGATGTGTAAATAGACAGTGAGTCTCATGTTATAACCAGCTGAGTATATGTGCTTTGGATGCACAGAGGAGGGAAGCCAACCCAGTCTAGAGGAGGGTGCGTGGGTGGCGAGGGGAAGCTTTGAAGGGCAGGTAACACGAGCAAGAAATGTGAACGGTGAGTACAAGTTCACCAGGGAGACAGCAGGCTTCCAGATGGTGGTGTGGCCTGTTTAGAGGCAGGGAGCTATGGCAGCATGGTGCAGTGGGTAGGTGGGTTGGGCCTCCATGTAGCCTGGTCAGTGTGACCAGAGCCTAGGACAGCTTTATTTCCCTAGCCAGATGGAAGCTCTGGAGAGGCCATGTCCTCTCCTGGTTCTGTAGGGCCCTGGAGTGTACAGCTGTATGCAGAGGTGGGCTCAGTTGGTGTATTGGCCTGTAGAGGCTTAGGCAACATTAAGACCTGGGTTTTTAATCTCTGAAGAAGTGGAGGGGGTAGTTGGCCTATGTGATGGGCTCTGGGGCTGTCCTGCCCCACCTCCACCCCATTAGTGTCAGCTCACTTACTGGTTCCCTCCCAGCTACAAGCCAGCCCCCTTCTTCGTCCTGGATGAGATCGATGCCGCCCTGGATAACACCAACATTGGCAAGGTGGGTGCAAGGAGGTGGGTCCCGGGAGGGAGGCCCCTAGGTTGGGGCTGGGTTTCAAGGAACAGCACCTGAGTGCACCCTAGCCATTTCTGCTGCCTGTTGTCTGTGCCTGGGAGGCTGGGCCCAGGGTCATCACACCGTGCTAGTCAGTGGCGTCCTCTCAACCTCTCTTCCCCCTACCTTCCACCATCCTTCCCACCCTCTCTGCCTCTGATTCTGACTGGGAAACACAAGAGAGTGTTAGGGCTTGAGCCCTCCTAAGTGCATGGCGGCCCCTCCCACAGGTGGCAAATTACATCAAGGAGCAGTCTACTTGCAACTTCCAGGCCATCGTCATCTCTCTCAAGGAGGAGTTCTACACCAAGGCTGAGAGCCTCATTGGAGTCTACCCTGAGGTAGGACGGACCTGGCTCAGGAGCCAGTCCCACTCCTTGCCTGACTTCCCAGGGCAGAAAGGGAAGGCTGCAGTGGAGGAACATGGGGGCAGGGGAGCACAGGGACTCAGGTCCTGAAAGGCCATCTGGGCATGTTGGAGCAAGCCCTGCCCTGGAGGCTTAGCCAGCCCAGTTTGGCAGGGCCATTGTATTTTGGGACAGGTAGAAAGGCCAGGCAGAGGCAGCCAGAAAGCAGAGAAAAGTAGAGTGTGCAGGTAGGCAGGGAGAGAAGGCACATGGGACTGAGCACATCCTCTCACACTCAGAGAGAACCATTGCCTGGGCTTTGGGCAGGTATGTAGGGAGGAGGGTTTGAGGACCCCAGTCCTGGGGTGCTAGACCCCTCTTAATTCTCTCCTTACAATTTCATTTTTCTTTTTCTCCCTCCTCCTTTAGCAAGGGGACTGTGTGATCAGCAAAGTCCTGACCTTCGACCTCACCAAGTACCCAGATGCCAACCCTAACCCTAATGAGCAGTAGCAGTAGTTCTACCCTCCTGCCCTGTCTGGATCCCTAAGCTGCCCCTCTCCCAGTCTCTGAATATTTGGCTTCCAACCTTCCCCTACCTCCTGTCCCTGTTTATGATATAGTCATAGGAATTAGGCACCGCTATCAAGCATGAAGAGGAACAGAGGTGATGTTAGGTCTGGAGCAAAAATTCCTGAGCTACAGGGAGCATCCTGGCCTTTGGAAGGAGGTGCTGAGCTGAATTGAGCTTAACAGGGCCATCTGTCTTTCCCCTTCTCCCCTTCCCTCCTCTCCCCATCACCCATAATCATAGGTCCCTTGGGCCCCCTTGCATTTTGGCGTGCGTGCATGTGTGTGTGTGTGTGTGTCTGTGTCTGCATGTGCGTGTGTTTGCAAAATAAACTTATTGGAGACCCATTTTAGCAGGACACTAGGCTGAATTTGATCCCAAGAGAACTTGTATGACAGCATCCCAGAGCTGGGTTAAGGTATTCAGGACCTCATAGGGGTCAGGCATTCTCATGAAGCCACCCTCATTCACTCTTGTGTTTTCATTTGTGTATTAATCAAATATATGCTGAGCACCCTCTATTTGTCAGGCTCTATAGTAGAAATACAGAGATGAATCAGACATGATCTCTATCTTCCTGCTAAGGAGATGGAGTGGTTTTATGAGTTCATGTGGTTAGTTGAATTACATTATAGATGCTTTGAATTTGAGAAGACGACGATCACCTCCCAGGCTTCCTGGAGAAGGTGATGTTTAAGCTGGACCTTGACAGATGGGTAGGATTTGGTCAGGCACTAGGAGCAGAGCCTGGGCCCTGGGAACAGACAATTGTGGAATCTAGTCCCCACCCCCTCCTTTTTTGTAATCACTTACTAGTTTGACATTGGGCAAGTCATTTGACCTTTCTGTGCCTCAGTTTCCTCATCTGTAAAATAGGGCTAACAATATAAACCTACCTCATAGGATTTAATGATGTCAGGCTCCTCACTGGAGGCCTTATCCCCTCTTGGAGCCCACTAGGTAGCGACCCCTCAGAATACAACCCTTCTCAAGCCTGGATCCCTGAAGGCTTCTGATCCCAGTTGTTAGGGACAGAAGGAACCTCCAAATCTGGGAGATGCTGAATGCCCTGGCTATTAGGAAATTTCCAGGGCACTGATGGAATTTGCCTGGTAAGCAGAGGGCCTAAGGAAACCTTTAGCTTCAACCATGTATGGTAACCATGTGCCTGAGCCCCAGCTTGGGTCATGAGGAAGTAGGGGAGAGGTAGCCTGGGCCACATCCCTGCCAAATGCGTGTGATGTTCTTTTTGGGAACAAACCGTGTTAGCTGCAGGGACCGTGCAGAGGCAGCACAGCCTGTTGCCATGAGGTCAGCCTTTGCTCATTCACATACACTGTCAGACCATCACCCCGTCCTGATCTGTGTATTCCATTTTTGTTTTTTAAATCAGGGCTCTCTTGTCCCCTCCTGGCGTGAGCGGGGAGCTCTGTCTGTCCTCACTGTATCTCTCAATAAAAGCCTCCCTGGCTCTCCTACCTTAAAAAAATGTTAAATCAGTTATAATTACCCAAGTAATGCACGAGTCCATTCTCTTTCTAAGAAACTAGATTGTTATAGGTAAAGTTAGCCTCATTTGACTACCATTCCTCTCTCCCTGCTAACTGCTGTTGTTGTATTATCCGTCTAGACTTTAAGACTTACATCTGTGAAATCATTGAAAATATGGTGTATTTAATGCAAATGGTATATTGAATCATGCTACAATTTGCTTTCTATGCTTAACAATGAGATCTACGCATGTTGCAATATGTAGATTCAGTTCACTCTGTAATTGCTGTATAGAGTGCCATCATATGACTACCACATCTTACCCATTTCTCTTGTGACAGACCATAGGACTATTTTCTGTTTTTGCTATTACAAGATACTACACAGGAGCATTGTGTGAGTGTGTGTGTATGAGCTTACCTAGGGTTACTTCCTAGAAGTTGAATTGCAGAATCATAGGCTATTTATATTTTTGTTTTAAATAGACACTTCCAAATTGCCCTCCTGTACTATATACTCAATATTGTTCTTGAGGTTGTCTTAGGTCTAATGTCATTACCTACTTGTTTCCTCCTAAGTAGTGACATCCATGAAAGCACAGGTTTGATGTGCTAATTATGTATTTTTCTAATACAGACTAAAAGACATAACAGTCAAATAATAAATTTGTGTCCAACCAAAGAAATCACTTACCACCAGTGGTACATGTGCTTTAGTTTGGAAAATGCTGGCATATCTGGAAGAGCACACTTTGGGAGTCACCTTGATTCAAATCTTAGCTTTAGAAACTGGAGCCTATTACTTCACCTCCCTGAGCCTCTGCTTCCTCACACAGGAAAGAAGATAATATGCACCCACCTTGCAGTAGTGCAGGAAAGGTGAAATGAAATATGGTTGAAGGAATTTGGCTGGCAGGAGATCATCACAGGCTCTTTGAAGTAGTGATTTCCCACTTCATAGATGAGGAAGCTAAGGCCCGAGAAGGTTAAATGACCCTGCTACCAGATTACAGGATTTAAGCCCAGATCCTCCGATTCAATCTTGTGCTTTCTGCACTTTGGGAGTGGTTATCAACTGTGGCTGTGTACCATAATCACTTGTAAAGTTTTTTATGTTTCCTTTTTAAAAATCAAAGCAATATATATATACTGGTTACAAAATAAGGTAGTACAGAAGGGCTTGTAATGTAATGAAAAGCAGCAGTTCCCTGCTGCACCCCTACATCCAAAGAATGCGGAACTCCTTGCTCTGGTCCCACCCCTGGAAATCTAATTCAATAGGTGTGGGTAATCATCTGGATAATAATCCCTACCTCACAGGGTAGAAAGAATTACATGAGATGCCTTGGGCTAAGGCCTAGCATACAGGAATAGGAGCACTACAAAAGACTTAAGTCCTGAGGATCAGAGAGGCGACTTGACTTGAGATAGTGGGAGAACCTAGACTTCAACTTGAATCTCCTGTGTGCTGGCTGTGTGCTTTCCCACTGTGCCACACTGCCTGGTATCATCACAAGGCAGCATGTACTCAGTGAAGGCTGTGCTCAGAGGAGAGCAGACACCATGGTGTGTTTCTAAGAAGCTGATCTGAGTAGAATTCCTAGGGCTTATTGGACACTAGGTTGACTCCCTTGTACTGCGGACCCAGTTGCCTTGTCTAGGGAATTGAAGAGTACTCCATGATGGTGTCTTAGTTTAATTGGGTACTTCACTCTGAAAATCAGTGTTGTACGCTGGGGACAGAAACCTTTACCCTGCCTTTGAGGAGTTCACTGTCTAGTTGGGGAGGCAATTCATAGAACAGCCGTTCACCATACAGTGTGATCAGTGCTCTGAACAGGAGCACAGAGAAAGGGGCATCCAGCTTAGGCTTCAGGGAACACATCCTCTAGTCTAGGAGGTGACTTCTGAGCTGAGTCTTAAGAGACTGGTAGGAATTAGCCAGTTGAGGAAGTGGAAGGAATTTCCAGGTAGTAGAATTCATTCATCCAGTTCAGTAAATCTTGGCTAAGCACCTCCTGTGTGCAGTGAGGCTCTCCCAAGCCAAGACTCTGATTCCCTCTTTCCTCCCTCAAGAGATGTTTTTGAGGGCTTTCCCACATATGCAAAAGACCTGAGGGCAAACAGCAAAGCAACTCTGAAATACTGAAGCATAAGGTTTTGTGAGGTGGAGAAGAGCAGCAGGAAACGAAGCTAGAGGCATAGTCAGGAATCAGATTTGAAGAGGGTAGTAAGAATCTGGCAACAGTTTTAATTTGTCTCATGGAACAATGTGGTTCCCAAACTGGCTGTGCATGCGAAACACATGGGACATTCTGAGGGCCCAACCTCTAAGTCCCTTTTCTGTAGCTGGGGCGAGGCCTCAGGATCTTGTTGCTTATAATGACTTTGGGGTGCAGCCACATTTAGGAACTGCAGCCTGAAGGCTGTGGGGGAGCCATGCAATGGTTTTAAGCAGCTGAGACTCTGGGTCAGATGTGAATTTAACAAACCCCTTTCTGGCCAGCCAGTGTGGAAGTGGATTGGGTTAAATGTTCCTGCTGTATGCCCCAGTTTGTAGTTCCCTGCTGCTCAGCTTCTCTCACTGTACTATGTTTGCTTGCTTTGCCTCTCTGACTAGTCTGTAAGCACCACAAGGGTAGGCATGGGGTTGTCTTACTACTGGTATCCCCAGCAAAAAGCACAGTGCCTGAATAAAAACAAGCACCCAATAAATAGTTTTTAAATGAATGAATGCATTTGTGAGTGAGCAAATGGAGACACGGAGATTACTTAGGAAACTATTGAAAATACCAGGAGTCCAATTTATGGGCAAGGGGGAATGGATTAGAGGTGATAAAGTGTTAACTGTTAAGATGAACCAGGCTTGGTGACTGATTGGATGTGGAGGGTAAGTGAGGTGACAGAATGAATACCCATTAATAGCCAAGATTTCTACCCTGTCCCCATCATTCTCCTTCCTCATCCATCTGAATCAAAATCTTCCAGCCTCCTCAGCAATGGAATTCCTCCCTCAACATTGTTAAACATTTTCTGTGTGCTGTGTGGTCTCCCCCTAACCCTAGCCATTGAATCATTCATCCAGTTCAATAAATCTTGGCTAAGCACCTCCTGTGTGCAGTGAGGCTCTTCCAGGCCAGGACTCTGACTCCCTCTTTCCTACCTCAAGAGATGTTTTTGAGGGCTTCCCCAGGTAAGACTCACATCCCTTACACAGTAACTTACAGTGAGATATCCAGATGTCAGAACTAAGAACTTCCAGGTTTTACTCAACCCCCTCCTAAGGCCCTTGGAGGGGTACAAACTTGCTCAAGATCCCACTAATAGTAAGTGTTAGAGCCAGAACTGGAGCCTAAGTTCCCTTTCCACATCGTCCCTAGAGCCGTGATCTCTCCCATTGCAGATCAGGACAGGCCAAGGTGGCCAGGGAGGTGGGACTTAGGTTGGCCTTGAAGGTCCATGTACTGGACAGGCCATACAAGAAGCTTGCCAGTTACACTGCCCCCTTCTGGAAACCCTCAGCAAACCTGCCATGCCCACAGTCCCTTCTAAGGGGTTTCTTAAGCATGAGTTGCCATGCTCTGTACCATGTGACCTCACATTCCTGGCCACAGATGGTTAGGTTGGGATAGTGTGTGACTCAAGGGGAGCCAATCTCTAGGCTGGCCTGTGGCCTATTAAATGGTGGACTGATGTAAGAACTACACCTCATAGGAATGGCCTGTATTAAATTGCAAATGTATGAAACATCATTTTTCAGGGATGCTGAATGTGAGGCATTCAAAAGTGAATAATTAGAGAATTAGGCTTGGGGTAGATTAATGATTGTGCATTGGGTCCCCTATACAGAATTTTATTGTTGTTAACAACCATTTGATCAATAAATATGAGAGATGCCCTCTCAAAAAAAAAAGTGAACAATTAATTAGGATTTAGCAAGGCAGAAGTGGTGGTGTATGAGGGGTGCCAGAAACTGAACAGCAAAAGCAAGGAGAAGGCTACAGAAGCCATGAGACATTTGTGTCATGAGAACATGGGGTCACAAGGTAGCAGAAGCTGTGAAGCAGCAAGACAACAGTGGGCCAAGAGGACACTGAAGCCATGAAGCAATAGGAGCTCCAATGTAGCAGGAGCCAGGAGGAACAGAAACCATTACCCTGACTGAATCTTGAGATCCATGAAGCAGCAGAAGGCTTGAATAGACTAGATCCATGAGGCAGTAGAAGTGGTAAGACTGTAAGCCACAAGGTAGCTGGAGTCATGTGGTAGCAAGGCAGCAGGAATTACAAGGAAGCAGAAGCCACAACAGAGAAGCCCTGGAGTAACTGGAACTGATGCCTCAGAAGCCAGGAAACTACAAGAGCCAGGAGGCCCAGAAGCTGTGAGGTGCTGAAGGCCATGCGCTATATGGGAGAGGAGCTGAAAGGAGGTAGTCAGTAGCAGTAGGAGGAGTATAAATACAGCCAAAAAGAAGTTGAGTCACCATTTTGGGGAGCACTAGAGAAGGGAGCAACAGATACCTGCAGCTGAGGGGGTGACGAGATAAGCCAGGCTCTAGAGCTGCTTTGGATCATGAACGATTTTCAAGTTTCTGTTCTTCTGTGAGGCTGCCTGTGTAGCTGTTTTTGTCTTCCTTATTTCCCTGTGAATGATTCAATAAATCTCCATCACTAACTTGAGTGTGTCTGTTCTTGTAATCTGAGAGGTTAACACTGCTGTGCACTTTACATGGGTGGGGAATGGGGCAGTAGGTCTTCAAGGTGAATTTGAACCAAGACAGGTGGGAATTCACTGTTTTCTGTCATACCCTCACTGGGACTTTTCATTCATTTACTTATTTGGCTTTTTTTTCATTCACTCATCCACTCATTGATTTATTCACTTACTCATGTGTAACTCAGTCATTCACTTATTAACTTATATGTGCATTAATAGAAGCATTTACTCATTCATTTGCTCATTTGTTCTTTCTTGTATTCACTCAAGTCATCACTTTTCCATCCATTTGGTCAGCAAGCCTGCATTGAGTTCCTGCTGCATGTCAGATTCTGTCCTAGTTCTGGGTAAGATACACTCTGAACTCTGGGAATTCAGTTTAATTGGGGGTCCAGGTAAGTAAGCAGATCAGTGCAACAAATGTGACATAATATAATGGAAGTCTAGATGAAGCAAAGTGAGGAAATACAGGAATATTGGATGGTTCTTCCTGGGGTGGGGTGGAATGGAGGAAATACTCACGAAAGCTTTTTATAAAGAAGGTGCTCTTGAACTGAGTCTTGAAGGAAATGTTAGTGTTTACCATGTGGAAAAGGAGGAAAGAACATTCCAAGCCTAGGAGCCTAAGCAAAGTTGTACAAGTGTGAAAGCGTATGGATTTTGAGGGGAGTGGGCATTGTCTCATGTGGTGGAAGGAGTGTTGGAAGCCAGGCAGTCAAGTTTAGTTTTGACCCTATGGGCAGTGGGAAGCTGTGGAAGGGTTCGAAGCAGGGGAGTGACAGAGTCAGGTTGGTAGTTTAGGAGGATCACCCTGGTAGCTGGTATGAAGGATGGTTGGGGGTGTGAAACACTGACCTAAATAATATCCTTGAAGAAAGAATGTGTCATAATTAGAGGCATGAATGAAGATAGAAGTCCCTGAGGAGGGAGGACAAAGTTCTACCAAGGGACTAAGGAAAGGAACTAAGGGCTTTTTGGAGGAGGAGGAATTTGAGTTGAGCCTTGCAGAATAGTGAGGATTACAACTGGTGGAGATAAGTATAGTAAGGCCTTTCCAGGCCTGGGAGACATGAAAACAAGCAAGACAGGTAGGTGTAAATATAACAAGTTTGGGCTAACAAAGATTTCACTTTGACTGCAGCATGGCTGTATTTAATTGAGAGGAGTGGGGACTGCAAGGTATCCCAAAGTTTTTTTTAATTGCTGCTGCTGTTAGGTCTATAGGGACAAACGAAATTGGGGATGGGTAAGTGGTGGGCAGGGGTATGCTTTTTCTGTGTTTTTAAGAAAACTTTAAGTACATGTTCATTTTAAAATAGAAATAATGCATGCACATTATTTAGAAAACAAATCAAATTCAGATCAGTGCAAAAAGACATGAAAAGCAAGAGTCTAATGCCCCACACATCCCCACCCCCACTTTAGTTATTAGCATCCAGTTTTAGTTATTTCTTCTGTTATCTGCATACCTAAATAATATATTGTGTGGGCATTTGTCTTTTATCAGTTTCAGTTACTGTTAGTATCCTGGTATGACAGATGTCAACTTAGATCATTTACACAGGGTTCAACTCTTGTCTTTCCTGCTTCTAATAGAATTTAGTTTCTCTATTAGATGCCTTCCTGAATTTAAGTAAGACCTTTATTTCTGGTTCTATGAACTACAGACAATGTTTCTTCACCAAAACTTTGTGAGATGAGAGTATCTTTTCCTTTTGTCCCTTTCCTTACCATCAACCTCCCAACTTCTGTCATCTGTTCTTTTATACTGTCAGTTGATAATATTGAATTCTGTTCCATAAACATAATTAAGTTTTTTCTGTGTGATTTACCTAAAGTTTGGTAGTTTAATTCTAAAAGTCAAGAAAATAAACCACTATTACATTCATGTATATTAATATAAGACTATTAATATAAATGACTATTGTTCATCGAAGAGCCTATTTATAGTTTTTTCCTTGTAACAGTTTTTTGTTTTTTCCTGAATCTTCTAATTCTTTTTTCTCTTTCACTATTTTACTTTATCATATATTCTACTTTTTTCTTTTCAAAATCTCTTATTACATTAAGTATTTCATCAAATTCACTTTTTCCCCCAAGAGACCTTCCTGGAACCTTCCATCCCCTTTCTCAAATCTGGATTTGTGCCCTAGAACTGATGCATGGCTATCATTTTGGGACTTCCTGGCACTGCTTTCCTTGGTTGTTTCTACTATTTACTGGTTCACAGGGGTTTGGTTTTGTTTATTTTTTCCATTGTTTTGATGGTGTACATCCTCAAAGGTTGTATAGGAGGTAGACTTCCTGAGTCTTTGCATGTCTAAAAATATCTCTTTATTCCATCCTTAGGCTTGTCTATAAAGTTTGAGGTTCAATGTCACTTTCCTACAGAACTTTGAAGGTATTACTCCACTTCTAGCATCCAATTTTGATGATAAGAAAAGTCTGATATCAGTCTGAGTCTCATTGCTTTATAAGTAACTTTCCCCATCTCTTTTTCTTCTCTTTCTGGGACCTTAATGAATGATAGGAATGTTAGGTCTCACATGTCCCTAAGGCTCTGTTCACTTTTTTTTTCCAGTCTTTTTTTCTCTCTGTTCCAGATTGGGTAGTTTCTATTGTTCTGTCTTCTTCAAGTTCACTGATTCTTTCCTCTGTCCTCTCCGTTTTGCTGTTAGCCCATCCATTGAGCTTTTTGTTTTGGTTATTACATTTTTCAGTTCTACAATTTCCATTTGGTTCTTCTTTATATCTTTTATTTCTTTACTTACAGTTTCTGTTTTTTTCATTTGTTTCAAGCTTGTTCCTAATTGTACATTGAGGCATTTTTATGATGGCTCCGTAAAATCCTTGTCAGGTAATTTTTAACATCTCTGCCATCTCAGTGTTATAATCCTCATTCAAGTTGAGATTTTATTGGTTCTTGGTATGATGAGTGATTTTCTATTGAAACCTAGGCTTTTTGGATATTGTGTTATGAGACTGGATCTCATGTACATGCTCTGTTCTAGCTTGTCTCCTCAGACACTATTCCCACAGTGAAAGAAGGGATATTGCCTTATTACTGTCAGGTAGGCATGGAAGTCTAGGACCCCCTCCAGTCTCTGTTGACACCCAGAGGGAGGGTTTCCTGATGGCTCTTGGGTGGAGGAATGGGGGTTCTGGCTCTACACTCAACCTTCTCTGCCACAACCCAGTGGGAAGGGTGACTTTTTACAGCCAGCGATAGTGGAAGCTAGGCTCTCCACTTAACCTTTGCTGATGGGGCCACAGTATTTCTCTGGTGTTTGGCTTGAGTATAGTGGTTATCATCTGATTGCTGCTTTCTTCAGCACCAAGTCTAGGATATGTGAGATGGAAAGCAAACCCAGAGAACTCAACCATCATGTTGCTTCTCTGCTACTGAGGTGCTCAGCAGCTTTGCCTTCTTTCCACCTCTTAGAGCCTTCTTATGTTTATATAATAGTGTTTATGCTATGTTTATGTTAATGTGTATGTATATAATGTTTATATATAATATCCCAGGATTTAGCTGTACTTGAAGAGAGGTATAGGAAAAAGTACTTCTACTCCATCACCTCCACATTAGTTATATTTTTTAATTGTCTTCTTGTTCTGAAATTTCATAATTATATGTTTGGTTTTGGTAATTTGTCTTTCATTGTGCTGGTCATTGGTTAGGTCCTTTCATTTTGAAGTTCTTTAACCCTGGGAAATTCTCTTATATTATTTCTTTGATACATCCCTCTCTTCTGTTTTCTGTTTTCTCCTGGAACTCCTTAAAGTTGGGTGGCAGACCTTCTGAATTGATTTTTTATAGTTTTTATCTATTTTCTCCCCTCCTCTTCCCTGCCTCCCTCTTCCCTCCCTTCCTAGCTCTCACCCTCTCTTCCTCTTGTTTTTACTTAGTTTCTGGGAGATTTAACTTTCATCTTCCAATTCTTCTGTTGCATTTCTTTTCGTTTGGACAGTCACATTTTAAATTTCCAAATATCCATTCATGTTCTCTTTTCCTTTCTTATAGCATCCTGTTCTTGATTACTAGACACACTTATCTTGACTTTCTCAGAATAATAGAGGTATTTTTATATTTCTTTTTGAAATACCTATTTCCTTTGAGAGTTGTCTTTCCCCATTTGCTTATTTTGGTCTCTTTAAATTTGCAGTCTTTTCTCAAATGCCTAGTAATCCACGGTTGTTTACTCATGTTTAAGAATGTAGCAATAAAAATCTGGAAGCTCTGTATATGGGGGACAGGGCTGGATGACTGGTGGCTTTCCTTTAGGATGTTTGGAGGAGAACTGACTGCTATGTTGCATCCCTGAATGTCAGAATGCAAACATCTTTTCTCTGAGGTGGTTCAGTTTCCTAAAATAAGAATCCTGGTTTTTGCCTAATGGGTAGATACTTGGCTACTGTGTATTATACAGAAGTAGGTGGGTTAATGGTTTGATATACAGCTTTCCAGTTAATCTCCCTGTTTTCAGCCTCACATCTCACTCCCCCTTTATGTCGTACCTGGCATTATTAAGACCCAAGACACTCCAGGCTTCTGCAAAGATCAGCTCATTCCTCGGTGGCATCAACTTCATGCATACTCCAGGCTATGGCTTCCTCCACCATGCTTCATCAGTCACCATTCCTCCATTTACTTCCTATCTTCCAAAAATGTGTTGAAATCTGTCTTCTGCTGATGGAGCTTCTCCCATTCTCTTCATCATTGTGTTTTTATACGTTTTAAAAATTCCTTTACTATCATTTTAGCAAGGTCTCAGGTGGGAGTGGAGATAAACATGTGGTAAGTCTACCATCTTGGCCTGGAAATCTATCTACTTACAACTTTGTTTTTAATTTTTCTGGTAGTTATTTTCATATCTCTAAATAACATATGGATTTTTCTATTTATCAACTTATTTATCACTTTATGAGATTATCTATTGACTTCCTGCTGTTTAAAC